GCTGGGCTGATATGTCATCCCAGTGGCTCAGAGAGGTTGTCTGCCATTTGAAGCCACTGCAGCAACCCACTGTAACTTCACAGGTGATGCTCCGAGATGCCTGATGTGAGGGATGTGCATAAGGGCAAGAAGCCATCAGAGAGATCTGAAGCAGCCAACACCATCTGGAATGCTATATCTGAGGATCTCTGGTGACGTGAATGGCCCCAGTGACAAGAGGCAGATCCCACTCTCGCCCCTAGAAGCTCTTCCCTTTTGTGTTTGTTATATCAAAGACTCCTAAGTATAAGTTTCAGAGATCTCATTAATCACCATCCTGAGAACATTGCAGTGATGAGCTGCCAAAGGCATGAGCGAATCATTCTAATTACCAGGTTTAGATGCTGCTCTTCAAAACTTGATTAGTCACAGATCCACAGGTGATAATTCCTACTGTCTTTATAGTGCATCCTCGCTATTATGCACTCTAGTATGATTTAGGTTCTTATTAGAATAACATTATGCTAATTAAGTAATCCCACACACAGAACACTTTATGATGGAGATGATTAAGTGGGTTTAGATGATAACTAATACCGCAAACTGTGCTATCAGTGTCAGAGAAACTGGTGAGGGATGCTCACAAAAAGAGAGAATGCCTCACTGCCATGGTATGTCCTAACTGTGAACAGAAAAGACAAAAAGACATTTAAAATAAGCAGAACATTAATAAGCTTAATTAAAAACAAAAAAACCCCACAATTAAATATAGACAAACAGTTGAATCTGTTGCCTGAAGTGATGAGATTACCCCTAGAACTGGAGTAATTTTTAAGCATGTTACTAAGAGCAGAATATCCCCCTTCCAAAAGCCATTAATTCTCATACACCAAACAGGTAGGGGGTGACTCTGCGCTTCTCCACCACACACCCTAGATCTGAATACTCAGTGTGTCTTCAGATGCACATATTCTGTAATAAGTGAAATAAAAAGGAGACTTACAGAAGGCTCTGCTCTCCCTAGGAGCCACATCACAGCAGTGCTACAGCAGTGCATGGTCATGCTTCCATCACAGAATCATTAATGTTGGAAAAGTCCTCTAAGATCAAGTCCATCTGTCAACCCAACAACACCATGACCACTAATCATGCCCCAAAGTGCCACGTCTCTACTTTTTTTGAACACTTCCAGGAATGATGATTCCACCACTTTCCTGGGCAGCCTGCTCCAATGCTTCCCCATTCTCTCAATAAAGATTTTTGTCCAAATATCTGACCTAAACTTCCCATTGAGTAACTTGAGCTCATTTCTTCTCATCCTGTCACTTGTTACTTGGGAGAAGAGACCAACATCCACCTCACTACAGCCTCCTTTCAGATAGTTATAGCGAGTGATAAGGTCTCCTCTCAGCTCCTTTTCTCCAGACTAAATAATCCCAGTTCCCTCAATTTTTCCTCATAAATCTTGTTCTCCAGACCCTTCATCAGCTTTATTGACCTTCTCTGGACCCTCTCCAACACCTCAATGTTTTTCTTGTACTGTGGCATCTCGCACTCCCATTCGGGTTTGGGGACACGCTCAGACAAGCCCAAAGCTCTGGCTGCATCCCCAGCCAGCACTCGGGACCTGTTCATTGCCTTTGAAAAGGTTTCTGTCCATGTACGTTCACTATTGCCCAATGATGTTTGTTCTCAGTTATTTCTTACAACCTACATTTAGATCCAAACCATGTTTGATTAACCCATTTGCAGCATCCCTTCACCAGAGAGTGAGCATTCCAGTCCTTCTTCCTTTAGAGAAAAGAATTAAAGTGCAGAACAAAACAAAGCTAATTTAAGAAACAAACTCACCAAAACCCTGAGGGCTGCTAGCAATACCTTAGTTATCCACAGAGGTTAAAGTTTTATTTTGATATAAAAATTAAATAGCAAAGTTGTTTGTTTGGGTTTTTTTTACAGTGATAAATTAGAAATTTACAGTACATACATTGAAGTAGATATATTTTCTGTACACCCCAAGATAATCAGTGTCTATTTCCTTAAAATTCAGAAACAGGAGTTAACTTGTCTGTTTAATGTAAGAGCTAAGCTTGTACCTCTCTAGCAGATGCTTCCGAAACCTGCGGTGAGAAAAGCACACACTGGGGTGGGGGAAGATGGGAGCAGGGACTGCACAAGGAAGGTAACTGCTGCAAAGTTTCTAGTTGTATAACCGCAGCAACTGCACTTCCGAGACAGGATTAGTCACACATTTTTTGGCTTTAAATTCATAATAATGTTGAAACAAGAGAACATATAAGTTGCAGATACCCACTCTTCACAACCAGCAGGTTTTAGGCTATCTGCTGTGACTTCCCACTCATAAGAGCCCTAAAGCAGGGCAAGGTAAATGCACATGGATGAATATGTCTGTGGAATGTTTTATCACTACAACAGCTATTCTCACTTTGAGCTGGTACGGTGATCCCCTAAACACTTGGGAAAGATGTTCCTTCGAGAACAGCAGCTGGTGTCTCTCCCCAGCCCACATCCTCCCCATAGTATCTAAATCTCTTAACATTCTTTAATGGAATATCCCCCCACCAGGTCTCTCATAGGGCTAAACAGTGCTTTCCTCATCCGACTCACTTTCACCATCTCAGATGACCCATCAGCCACAGTCCATGGGGTCACAGGCAGAGGTGCAGGGTTCTGATAACAAGGTACCACTTAACATTCATTTCTGTGTACATAACATGATTAAAAATGGCATTTATTGAATCAGTCGGGTCAAACATGGCTCATATTGGCCAAGAGAGCATCCAAATCATTTCAGAGTGAAGGACACTTGAGTGAACATGACACCTTGGCACAGTCCAATATCAGGTAACAAGGAAAAGGCTCATACTGCATCCTCACCCCTTGGTTGTCAACACATAGCTGCTGACTTTACATCCCTTGAAAGATCACATGATGGAGAAGCTCGGCCATCTGAAGGTCTCCTATTTGCAGAACCCCTTGTCCACAAAGGAATAACCAGATGCAAACACAACTCTAACAATAAGAGACGTTGCGGCGAGAATGAAAAGGCTTGGCTGGTATGCAGCGTTGGCCAAGACAACGCTTATGCGTCTTGAGCAGAATGTGTCAAGTTGTCACTTGTTCTGCTGGAGAGGGAGCCCAACCACAAGGACTGCAATTAGGGTTTGTTTGGGGTTTGGGTTTTGGTGTGTTGTTTTTTGTTTAAAAAAAAAAAAAGCAACAAATGTGCCCCAGCACATGTTTCAACATTGATGTTGAAACAATACACTCTTCTGGGACAGATTAGTGCTCAGGGCCAGAGCTGGAATGAATTGTGGTTTGGGAAGCACATGGGGCACCTGTGAAAAGCAAGGGTTGTAATAAAACAGAGCCTATTCTCAGCTGCCCTCAAAGGTTGTGCGACTCGAGGCATCAGGGGGACGCTCTGCAGCTGACCAGGTTCCACAGAAACAAATGAAGGAAAAGTTTAGGCACACAGATGGAACCGAAGGTTCTTCAGAGGGATAGAGTATCAGAACCGTGTTCTCTTAAGTGCTTTTGGGCTACTTCTGTTTGCATCACCTTTCTCACTAGCTAAACAAGCCCTCCACGCAAGATTCAAGCTCGCCACAAGAACAAGCCCACATCTCCTCAAATAAAGAGATAAGAAAACTCAACAGTTGCTGTGAAACAACATCATTCACCAAGAAGTTATATCTCTTCTCTTGGGATCCCTTTACAAAAGCTGGAAATGTCTCTTGTTGTTCCTGAGGGCTGAATGTCTGCTCACATTCTGCATGCGAATATGTATTAAAAAAAAAAATTCTCCCTAGCTGTCAGCGAGCAATTGGAGCATCGTCGTGAGGCAGTCAGCTGTACTGTGATGTCATGGGCTGAGAATGTTCTTTTAATTGTAACTGACACACTTAATTATACAACTGATCTGTGTGAACACGAGGTTGCCAAGGAACTTAACTTTTCACTTCTCCCCAGGCTGGCGTCTGCAGAGATACCATCACACTGAATGAAATATATTAAGATTTAATTGCTTCATGCAAGTGGTCTCCAGAGAGAGACAGATAAGTTTACTTGGAGAAAAAGTGGCATTGTTTGAAAAGACCCTCAACTCACTTTTCTCTTTCCTAGAGGAAGGAACAGTATAATGTGAGTCTTTATTTAAAGCTATTAAATGCAGCAGAATCAAGTAGTCCACTGGAAATAGCAGGAGCACCTGAAGGGACAGGAACAGAGGCAGATGGTAACGACAATCGATGCAGAAGACCATACACGGTTTCCCAGCTCCCACTGCCTCCTCTATTTCTGACAATTGCCTTGAGTAAAGCTTTCAGAAAATTTTAGAACTATTGATAGACCCACAGAATAATTCATGTGGGAAGAAACCTAGAGTCGTCTAAATACCTGCTCAAGGCAGAGTCAACTCTCAATTCAGATCAGTTTACTCTTTTTTTCTTTTTTTTTTTTTTTTACAAAAAAAAGAATCAAAAGTACTATTAGACCATCAGATGACTTAAGGAATAAACCTGACTAACACCTTACTAAATCCTACTCATTGTGGGTAACTTTCAGACCTGGAAGGTCCACCCGGTATTTGATGGAGGACCTGATCCTTGGCTGACTTGTCCAGCATATGGGATCCCCAGAATTCCCCAGGCCATAAAGACACAACCCTTGGCAAGCGCTTCCTTTATGATGCCGAGCTCAGAAAGAAAACATATAACCAAGGTCCTGGGTGCTCCATCTTCTGATAACTGGACCTTAAATCAGCAAAGAATTTGGCCCTGGACTGTCTTTAATCCACCAGCTATAAGACGATAAAACAAAACAACATCCCACAGCTCTGGGCTACAGTCCCTCAGCTTCTACTGATTCAGTATATTGCATCCTGCTTTAAAAAAGAAAATAAAAGGAAGATAATGTGTTTGGATATTTCACAGCTTTTAAAGCCTCCCTGGGCTTTCCTATTTTGGGCAGCACGGTTTATGGCTAATTGTATCTGCAGCACAATCTTTTTGTTGTTTATTCTTTAAGGCTTTTTTTTTCTCCTTCCCCCAGAGACATGTTGTGTAACTGTCTCCCCACTCTCCTCAATGCTTACACATGATCAGTCCTTCACGGGAGAACAGTCAGAACGCCAGGATGTCGTGCTTTTCTCATACCACAGTCTCGTTCCCTTTTCCAGGTTTCACCCAACCATCTGCTCTCTTCTCCCGTTTCACTTTCCCTGAGTTCACCAGTCTGTTCGAGCACTTCTGCCACGTGTGCAGAGTCTTGGCTGACCAGATCCACATCCCTGATGTAATACCCACCAGGAGGGACATAAAGATTTTGAGCATCTCCACTGCCATATTGGAATCATCTGCCGAATAGCGGAAAATGGCCCAATTGGATATTTCGTAGAAATAACAGGCGATGACACATGTTGCTGGGACAGTGTACAGAACTGAAAAGACACCAATTTTGACCATCAGCCTTTCCAGTTTGTCGGTTTTAGTTCCATCTTTCTGGAGATTAGACCTGATTTTAAATAAGGCCACGAGTCCCGCTGCAATGAATAAAGTCCCAATAACCAGGTAGGTAAAAAGCGGGGCGACGACAAAGCCCGTCAGTGCATCCAGGTTCTGGTTCCCAACGTAGCACAGACCAGTGAGCTCATCTGCATCCACTAGTCTCATAATCAAAATGACAATGGTCTTCACCGCGGGGATAGCCCAGGCTGCAATATGGAAATAAGAGCTGTGCATTTCTATAGCTTCATGGCCCCACTTGAGTCCTGCAGCCAGAAACCATGTCAGTGTGAGAATAACCCACCAGATGGAGCTAGCCATCCCGAAAAAATACATGAGCAAGAAAATTATAGCACATCCTGTGTTCTTAAGACCTTCTTGGATAAGAACAGGTTCTGCTGCCTCTTCAAAATCACAGGATATCCTTTCCCGGCCCACAGTTAGCCTCACAATATAAGCAATGCTATAAATATTGTAGCACATGCTCAAAAAGATGATTGGGCGCTCCGGGTAGGAAAATCTGGATGAATCAATCAGGAAGGTCAGGACTGTGAAGGCAGTAGAGATGAAGCAAAGACTGGCCCACACAGCCATCCAGATATCTGTGAATTCCTTAGCTGACCTGCTGTAGAGACCGGCGTCGTAGCCACACTTCAGGACACAGTTCAAGCTTCTCTTCACCCAGATGTACTGATCCGAGTTAGATCCCATGCTGTGGCACTCTTCCCCAGGCTGCAAGGAGGTCTTGCCGTGAAGGGGAACCTCTTCATCTCCTGGGCCCTCCATGCACATGTGGTTGTGATCATTCTGGGGTGGGAATTTGCTGCAGTTTAGGCTGTCCGGCCAGGCAAATCCAAATTCTTTTAAAACGGGTTCGCACCTTCTTTTGACAGAGAGGCACATGCCACCGCAGGGACCTATGGGGATGTTAATCTTCTCTGTGCACATCGGGACATAGACTGAACAAAGGAAGAACTGGAAGAGAGAAATAGAAATCACAAGTGCGTTCGGGGAAAATTAGACAGGTCAAAATATAACAAGTTGGGGTTTTCTTGCCTCTTCAGCAGTATTATTTGGTCCTTTGCCTTAAAAAACAGGAAGCAGCATAAAACAAATAAACCAAGAACAATAAAAACAAAGGAGGAGAAAAAAAACCCCTAACAATGTTGTCTTCTTTCAGTTCAGATGTGATCCAAAGCCAAAGCCTGAACATTTTACTCCCTCAATGAGCTCCATGTAAATTTAGCCCATCAGTTTCAATAAAACAAGTGGGATTTAGCCAGATCTAAACCTAAAGGGTGCAATTTAGGAAAGCAAAGAAACAATTAAAGTGGTTTAAACAAACAGATATATTCATCCTAGGCGCTGCCTGGATATTACAGCTAACAAACAAACAGAAGAAAAGTTATTTAATTACTTTGGTGTGCCACCCTCCTAGAAGGAGGTCTTTTTCTTTTACCATGAAGCCACACACGTATTTACAACAGCAGCGAAATGCTCTCGTTTCCTCGGCTGCGGAATAATCGCGACTCCGGGACGAGGCAACGTCAAGCGGGATCGCGTGCTCGTTCGGGAACTCTGCCCTAAGAAACAAGCTGGTTTTTGTTTGATGAAATCCGTGCCCGTGGGGAAGACAAGGATCTTGCCATTCGCCTGGGAAAGAAACTCCTGCGGTGGAGCTCTCGGACGAGGTTCGAGCAACTGGCGGCTCCCAGGAGCCAGCTCCCTCCGTTTCTCCTTTCAGAGGGGTGCAGCACCTCGGGGACCACGGGGACGGGGGGCGGCGAGTGGCCAAAGCCCCGGGAGCCCCGGCTCTCCCAGGCCGGGCAGGGGCA